ACTGCCTTGGAAACCCAAGGAGGGGTCGCTATGAGTCAGGTCTGACTTGATGGCATATAACAACAACAACAAAGTGCTGAAGAGCAAAGATGTCTCTTTGAAGACTAAAGTGCACTTAAGCCAAGGCATGGTGTTTTCAATCATCTCATATGCATGTGAGAGCTGGATAATGAATAAGGAAGACTGAAGAAGAGTTGATGCTTTTGAGTTGTGGTGTTGGGGAAGAACACTGAAAACTACCATGGACTGCCAGAAGAACAAACAAATCTGTCCTGCAAGAAGTGCAGCCAGAAGAGAATTCTGGAGACTTGGAAGTGAGAATGGCCAGACTTCATCCCACCTACTTTGGTCATGTTGTCAGAAGGGGCCATTCCCTGGAGAAGAATATCGTGCTTGGTAAAGTGGCGGGTCAGCAAAAAAGGAGAAGGCCCTCAAGGAGATGGATTGACACTGTTGTTGCCACCAGGTTCAGGTATAGCAAGGATTGTGAGGCTGGTGCAGGATTGGATAGTGTTTTGTTCTTTGTACATAGGGTCGTTACGAGTTGGAGCTGAATATACAGCATCTAACAACAACATCATATATATATGATATCTATATATCTATACATACACACACACACATATTTTTGTTGTTGAACATTTTACTTTGCTTTAAAGAAAAGTAAATTAATTTTCTAATCAATATTGATTAGATGAAAACTTTAGATGAGAGTTTAAATGTTGCTTTTGTTGTTGTTATGTGCCGTCGAGTCAGACCCGACTCATAGCCACCCCTCCTTGGGTTTCTGGGCAGTATTGCTATGGAAGTAGATTGCCCAACCTTCCTTCTTAGGAGTACTGGTTTGAACCGCCAGTCTTCTGGTTGCTTTTGAGCAGTCAAGTGCCTTAGGCACCACGCTACCAGAGCTCCTGAAAGTTTACATAGTAAATTAGTGTTCTGTTGTTGTTGTTGTTGTTGTTGTTATGTGCTGTGGAGTCGGACCCGACTCATAGCAACCCCTCCTTGGGTTTCCAAGGCAGTATCACTACGGAAGTAGATTGGCCCATCTTCCTTCCAAGGAGTGGCTGGTGGGTTTGAACCACCACCCTTCTGGTTAGCAATCAAGTGCCTTAGGCACTAAGCTACCAGAGCTCCCAAATTAGTGTTCTAATCAATATTTATTAGATAAAAATTTACATAATAAATTAGTTTTCTAATCAATATTCATTAAAAAACAATATATATAAAAAACAAAATAACAATTGTCACATTGTTATGTGCCATTGGTTAAAATCCCTACACTGTGTCAGCACTCTCCCATTTTCTCCCTGTGTTCACAGTTTTCATTCATCCAGTTTCCCTTTCCCTCCCCGCCTTTTCTTCTTTGGTTCTGGGGGAAATGTTGCTCTTTTGGTCTCCTATATTGTAGTTGATTCTTCTAACGAACATATTCTTTTTTTAATGTTTATTATTATTTTAATTTTTATTGTGATTTGGGTGAACGTTTACAGAGCAAATTCACTTTCCATACAGCAGCTCACATACACTTTGCTCATGACATTGACTGCAATTTCTCACATGCAACAACTCCCCTTCCACTTCCTCCCCATAGTTACCTCTTCCCTGTGTCCTTCCCTCCCATGCACTCCTGCCCCTGAACTGTCTCCCTATGCATACACAACCCTTCTATTCTCCCATGATTGATCTCTCTAAGGAGTGTATCTACCTAATGTAAATATTCAGCTCAAATGAATAAGCCACAGGAGTGGGTTCAATTCTAGACCTGAAGGGCAGCTAGGGGCCATAGTCTCAGAGGTTTCACCAGGCTCTATCAGACCAGCAAACCTGATTTTAAGTTTTGGTCCACATCGTTCTCCCACTCTATCCAGGATCTCCTACATAGATCCCCCCTCAGAGTGGTTGACAGTGGTAGCCGGGCACCATCTAGTTCTTCTGGTCTCATAGTCGTACAGGCTGAGGATCGCATGGTGTACCAGTCGCTAGAACTAATTCTTTCCATGAATCTTTGGTTTTCTTCATTCTTCTTTGCTCTGAATGAGGAGAGACCCATCGTTGCATGTTGATGGCTCCTTGCAAGCTTTCAAGATCCTGGTCGCTACTTACCAAAGTAGGATGTGGAACAATGTTTTTGTGTAGTATCTTATGCCAATTGAGCTTGACATCCCTAAGGAACACAGTTTTCATGGGTGTTATTGTTTACTTTATTGGCCCATCTATTATTTGGCCGTGAGGTGGCCAATGGAGTATCTTGATTTTTAAGTTAGAAGCTTGTTTTAGAGCAATAGTCTGGATAGCTCCTCCGGTCTCTTTCAACCCAGTAAATCTGGTCTTTCTTCTTTTTTAAATTGAATATTGGTCTACATTTTTAACAGTTTTCAACTGAGACCTGAGGTCTTGGTCAGTATGGGTTGTAGTGCATATGTATTTTTAAGTCTTTGAAAACAGAGAGTATTGCAGGTTTTCACAGAAGTTTTAGAAATATATCAACACTTGGGGCAACCTTCTGACTTTGCTTTTGGTCTGAAAATTCTAAGAACAATAGACCTAAATTTCCTTCTGTACCCCATCCTCAGTCTCTTCATTCTCTTTTAAAAGGAAGCTGCTAAGAAAAGTGTCAAAATTCCACAGCTTCTAGGGTTTTACATTACCTTTTTTTTTTTCCTCTTAGCTGGTGGTTTTTGTTTTGTTTTAATTGTAGTGAAACTATTTATAACAATTCATTTGTCATTTCAACATTTTTTACAAGTATAATTCAGTGACACCGATTATTGTACATTATTCATCGTGTTGTAGAGCCATTAGCACTATCCCTTTCCAAATTATTCCATTCCTGTGAACAGAAACTCAGTGCCCCTTTGCTGTATTGTTTGTAGCTGGACTTTCTTGCAAATAATTTACACAAATAATTTTTTAAATTGTTATCTAATATAACAGAAAAAAGAAAAAAAAAAACCTCTTTGGGTGTAGTTATCTAGTTAATACTGAGACTTTGTAAGTAGCAAAGCAAAAAAGGAGTGCTTGGCACACCATTGCCTGTAGTGTGTACTTAGTTAAATGTCGATCTGATCAGGTAAATTCTGGTGGATCAAATGGAAAGGAATCGAAAAGCGTATGCTGTAAATATTGAACTCACTCATCTTTTTTCTCCCTTTCTTTCACAGAAGACAAAATGAGAGGTTCACTACTGCCCTTTCTTGATTTTCTTCTTGAAAATCTTGGAGTGAGGTAAGAATGATAGAATTCATGTTGTAGCCAGGCACACTCAAGATCGTTTTATTCATCTCTGAGGAATAAAGCCCAACATCCCTAATATTAACTGTTCTCATTTCAAATCTATGAAGTGTTTTAAAACAGTCTCCTGCTTTCTGGTTTACACAGTATTTTGTTATAATTGTTACTTCATGCAAATCCTATGTTTAATATTACTACTGATTTGTATTTTAAAGAATTTTGCTGACAAACCTTTATGAAATTTGTAGTGATCAACTTTTTACTCTCAATTTCAGAATCATTGAATTGGACATACTACAAAATATACAAAAACTGATGAGGGGGGGAAATGTTGTCATGCAGTACCAAGGGTACAACCAATCTCGAATGTACTTCTATATTTTCTTCAAGCTTCTTACAAGTGGAATTGCTCCAGGTGTTAGATTGAAAGGCAGTCTACAAACAACTTTGTCACATTAAAGTAACTTAACCATCCTATTTCTGCACTTGTGAATTGGGGAATAATAATGTGGCAATGTATGTAAAGCACATGGTAAGCCCATAATAAAATATATATGAAGCAGGTTTCCCAACGTAAAGCTAGAAATTCTACAGTCTACATTAGAGTAGGGTCTACCTTAAAGATCTCAGTTGAGGATTCAGTGGTTAAATTAGTCCTTAAAATGGAGATGGTGTTTTTCATTACAGATTTGGCAACAATGATGAAATATGAGCCTTTTCTTAAGGAATTTCACATGACTAAATGTAATTTGTGTTCACAGTCACCAAGGAATCAAAACAAAGAATTATACTGAATTCTTTCTTACACTGTTGCTTAGTAATTGATAATAAAAGTAAATTGTTAAAAAGATCACCCGAGGACATTTAAGTGACTTTTGATAAATGTCTTGGATCCAAATCTTTAAGGACTTCATCTTGGTTCTTTCACAACCACATTCCCCTCTCCCACGGACTTTTGCTCTCCAGCCCCCTCAACTCCCCTCCAACCTTGCCCCTTACCATTCATTTCTTATACGTAAATAGGTACTTATTGTTTGAACTAACTAGGATTTATTTTATAAAAATTAATAGAGTGTTTCTTTTAAAGAGAACCATATACTTTTTTTGTGGACCACATGCTATTGATTCATTCAACAAATATTGATAGAGGACCCACTATGTATTAGGTGTTCTTCCAGGAATTTGGAATACAAAAATGAATAAAATAGACAAAATGCTAGAAGGAACACCACATGACACAACTCTTCTGGCTATTTTGTAACTCTTAGGTGGAATTGACATAGCTTAATTAGAACTGTGCAGTCCTAAAAGACAGCCACTAGCTACATGTGACTATTTAAATTAAAATTAAATTAAAACATTAGTTCTTCGGTGGTTATTGTTGTTGTTGTTGTTAGGTGCCATCAAATTGGCTCCGATTCATAATGACACTATATAGAACAGAACGAAACGCTCCCCAGTCCTATGCCAGCCTCACAATACTTGCTATACCAGAACCTATCGTTGCAGCCACTGTGCCAATCCATCTCATTGAGGGTCTTCCCCTTTTTTTTTTCATTGACCCACCACTTTACCAAGCATGATATCCCTCTCCAGGGAATGGTCCCCTCTGACAACATGACCAAAATAGGTCAAGTTAAGCCTGGCCATTCTTGCCTCCAAGAAACATTATGGCTGCACTTCTTCCAGGACAGATTTGTTAGTTCTTCTGGCAGTCCATGGTACTTTCAGTATCCTTCGCCACACCACAACTCAAAAGCATCAACTCTTCTTCAGTCTTCCTTATTCGTTGTCCAGCTCTCATATGCATATGAGGTAACTGAAAATACCATGGCTTGTATCAAGTGCACTTTAGTCTTCAAAGAGACATCTTTGCTCTTCAGCACTTTAAAGGGCTCTTTTGCTGCAGATTTGCCCACTACAATACATCATCTGATGTCTTGACTGCTGCTTCCATTGGTGTTGATTGTGGGACCAAGTAATAGGAAATCTTTAACAACTTCAATCTTTTCTCCATTTATTGTGCTGTTGCTTATTGGCCCAGTTATGAGGATTTTTGTTTCCTTTATGTTAAGATGTAATCCATACTGGACACTGTAGTCTTTAATCTTCATCAATAAGTGTTTCAAGTCATCCTCACTTTCAGCAAGCAAAGCTGTGTCATCTGCATATCACAGATTGTTAATGAGTCTTCTTCCAATCCTGATTATTAATGATATTGTTTGATAATTTCCACATTCTGTGGGATCACCTTACTTTGGAATGGATACAAATACGGATCTCTTCCAGTTGACTCTTCCAGTCAATTGGCCAGTTAGGTGTCTTCCAAATTTCTTGGCATAACCGAGTGAGTGCCTCCAGTGGGGCATCTGTATGTTGAAACATCTCACTGGGTATTCTGTCAATTCCTGGAGCCTTAGCAAACAATACCCCAGGTTTTTGGTGGTTCTTAAAGGCATAAACTAAGTCTTTACTGTAACCCCAGTGCTGAACACACTGTGTAATAATAGATAACAATTAAATAGTTGTTAAATGAATATTACTCTTCTTCATAAAGCTTTATAATCATGTCAAATATTGTAAGGGGGCCTGATTATTAGGCTAAATTTTAAAAAATAGATATCTAGCATTAACTGAGGAATTTCTTAGAGCTCTGTGCTAAGTGCATTATTCTTAAATTCTCATTTAATCCCTCTCTAGCACTGTGAGATAGATAATATTATCCATCTGTTATAGTTGAGAACATAAGTGAAGAGAGAAGGTGAAGTGACTTGTCCAAGACCACACCAATTCTGTGTTGCAGATCTGAGCTGCTTCTATCTGATTCCAAAGTCCTCTTTCATTATTGTTGTTGTTAAGTGCCATTGAGTCGGCTCCGACTTATAGCAACCCTATGTATGACCAAATGAAACACTGTGCAGTCCTTTTCCAATAATATATGAGACAATGTTTCACTGGTAGTCATAAGATTTTCACTGGCCAATACTTTGAGAAGTGGATGGCGTCTGCCTTCTTCTGAGTCTGTCTTAGTCTGGAAGCTCTGCTGAAACCTGTCCACCATGGGTGACCCTGCTGGTATTTGAAGTACCAGTGGCATAGCCTCCAGCCTCACAGCAACACACAAGCCACCACAGTATGACAAACTTTCAGACTATGTCCTAATTCAGAGTTCTATGTTGAGTTTTTACTTACATGTGGCATACAGATTCAAGTTGGTAGGGTAGATGTTGACTTCAATTTGGTTAAAGCAATTTTGACTTGTAGATTGAAGACTTTCTCTGTGTCTCTTGCTCCTAGAAGAATCCCAGTGCAGGGACCCTGGGTCCAAAGTATGTAGTTGGAAATGTGAAACTGGAGCTGGGAAGAAGGGTCTGGGTTACAGAACATGGACCTGGGCTTCACCTACAGGCAGGAGACGTTGAAGTCCTGAGTTGACCAAATGTCATGAATTGAATTATGTCCCTCAACATTTGTGTCAGTTTGGCTGAGTCATGATTCTCAGTGATTTAGAAGTCATATAATGATGTAATGTGGCAGATATGTAATGATACCCCATGATGTGATCTAATGTGATAAGCTGATCAGGTGTAAAAGGACACCTTTAGTCCCTTCATAGCCCTGGGGTGTGGCCTACATCTTTTATCTCACAAGAGATAAAGGGAGAGAGAAGAGAGCAGAGAAGGGGGACCTACAACCACCAAGAAAGAGGAGCCAGGAGCAGAACGCATCCTTTGGATTCAGGGTCCCTATGTTGGGATCCTTCTAGATCAAGAGACACAGAGAAAGTCTTCCCCTAAAGCCAGCACTCTGAACTCAGACTTCTAGCCTCCTAAACCATGAGAGAATATGTTTCTGTTTGTTAAAGCCATCCACTTTTGTAGTATTTCTGTTATAGTAGCACTAGAGAACTAAGACACCAAGTGAGAAGAGGATTGGGGATAGAAATCTGGAGGAGACCTGCATTGATTCAACAGACTAATCTCATGTCATAATTGCTAAGACAGTTTCCAGGATGCATATGCTTGAGTTATTAATTGTTCTTTCCCCCTAGATAATCTAGAGTTGATTCCGTACCATTATATACTCCAGGGATTAAGTAAATAAAGCTAGATTTCCTAATTCTGTTGTAATTTTAGTTACTTGGGAGATAGAAAGGAGCTGCTTCCTTATATCCGAAGACTGAGTCAAACTCAAGTTGATACAATGAAGGTAAGAGGAATCTGATTTTCTTTTTTTTTTTTTTAATACAAAGTAATATAACTCAATCATGTAAAATTCATTTTAAAAAGAATGAAAGGAAATATGTTTCTGGGTGACAGAATTATGGGTAATGGACAATGGAGATCCTCATACTTATCTAAACTTTGAATTTTCTAAAACGTGCACAGATTATTTAAATCAGAAAAAATAAATTTTTTTAAACATATACACAAAACTCACTGCTGTCGAGTTGGATTCAACTCATAGCGACCCCTCCTTGGGTTTCTGAGGCAGTATCACTACGGAAGTAGGTTGCTCACCCTTCCTTCCGAGGAGTGGCTGGTGGATTTGAACCGCCAGCCTTCTGGTTAGCAGTCAAGTGCCTTAGGCACTATGCAAATAGACCCTTACCCAGCTTGTCAGATCTTAACATTTTGCTTTATTTGTTTCAGACTATTATTTTTAGAACAGAAATTAAAAACAGTTGAAGGCTTCCTTTGTACCCCTCCTGGATCCTATTTTTATCCTTCCTTCCCTAGAAGTAAGCATCATCCTGAATTTAGTGTTTATCACTTCAATGAATATTTTTATACTTTCACTACATATATAGATATATATCCATAAACAGTGTGTAGTACTATTTCATAGTTTTTATAAATTTTATATAAATGGTATTGTATTATAAGTAACCTTTTAAAACTTTCTCTTTTTTATTTAACATTATATTTTTGAGAATCATCCACATTGACACACATAGCCCCAGTTACCCCCAGTTATAGAAGAACTTTTTATAATTTGTACTAAATTGTCTTCTCAGTTTTGGTAAAATATTTTTTGTGAAGTACTAGACCAGATGATTGGTATATTCCTAAATTTTAACCTATCAGTAATTGATTAACCTTCCTCCTCATCCCCTTTCAGACATCAAACTTCAGCGTCTCAAGAATCTTTTTTAACAAGCATTTGTCTGCCCAGCCCCCACCCAAAAAATTCTGATTCTGAAAATTTGGAATGGAGCCCCAGGAATGTGGCTTTTTCACAAGCTCTTCCGCATAATTCTAATACCATATTCAAAAGACTCTTTCTTTATTAGTTGATGACAAGAAATATTGTGTTCCTGGGTAGTACAAACAGCTAATGGACTCAGATGCCCAGCAAAAGTTTCAAGTCCACCCAGAACACATCAGAAGAAAAGATTGGTGATCTCCTTCCAAAAACTCAGCCGTTGAAAACCCTATGGAGCCCACTTGTACTCTGACTCATGTCATGACTTCGCCATGAGTTGAAATCAGCTCAATGGCAACTGGTTTGGTAACAGGAAATGTACCTTACTGTTCACCCTTCTGACATCTCTGGCTTGAGAAAACTTAGTTTCAGACCTGGAAGTAGGTAGGGCATACCTCGTTCTCCTTTTCCATCCTTTTGCAAGAATAGTAGTACTTCATCAGGGTTTTGTTTTGTTTTTTAATTTAATGTATACTCTTTGAGTTATTTCACATCCTTACGAGAATACATCTTTCAATTTTGCTTTTGCAAGTTAGCCTGCTTATTTTCCATTGTAAATCATGTTTGAAAAATTTAATGGAGTGTTTGGTTCAACTCAGTAATAATTTTCTTTTACAGACAAGGGAGTGATTTCTATAGCAAACTTTTTATTTGAAGAATAATAAATTCCAGCCCTTTCTGAAAAAAGTTTTCCAATATATAAAATACTTCATTCTTTTTATGACAGTAAATAGAATAGTCACATATCAAAGATGATAATAAATATTTTGTCCGTTAGTTGGAAGAAAGTTTGTGTCCTGTATTCTGTGTTTTCCTTACTCAGAAGTAGCAGTATAGGGTGTTCTCTTCAGGAAGAGCTTAGGTGAGCTTTCTCCATTAGGCAAGATCATCTCAGGTGATCCCTGAAGTTATATTTTCATAATTTATAGTTTGGAACAAAAAGGAATTTTTGAAGTAATGTATAAGGGCAGCCAATAGTGTCATAGGCACAATTTTATTCTTTTTTTCTATTTTTCATTAAAAATAGAAAATCATTAACCTCATTTATGAAGTACAAATTACAGTTGTTGAAAATACATTTTTAAACTATCAACTACCATAATCAGTTAGTCATTGTCCAGTAATGAGATCAATACTTTATATGACTATAGCTTTATCAGGAGTACAGTTTTTGTGTGGATGTATATTTGCAATTGTCTTATGTATATAACTAGCAGTGTAATTACTGGGTCATGTGGTAACTCATTGTTTAACCTTTTGAGGAGCTGCCAGACAGTTTTCCAAAGGAGCAGCAACAATCCGCCCAGCAGTGTATAAGGATTCTAGTTTTTCTGTGTCCTCGCAAACACTTGTTATCTGTCTTTTTGATTATAGCCATCCTAGGGGACCAGAACAGATCAAGAAGTCAGCTGCAGGGATCTAGGTTAGGAGAGGGAACCCAGGCCATACCCCACAAGCAGCAAGGCAGGAAGGCAGGGAAAGGATAGAAAAGGCGAAGGGGACCAGAACAGATAGAGGAGTCAGCCACAGGGACCCAGGTTAGGAGAGGGAACCCAGACCATGCCCCATAAGCAGCAAGGCAAAGGAGAGGACAGAAAAGGCAAAGGAAACTGGAACAGAGCAAGGAATCAGTGCAGGGATCCAGGTAAGGGTGGTTGGAGAGTTTTCCAACAGGTAAGGGAGACAAACTTGTCTGTCTGTTTGTCCTACTATTGTGACGTGTTGCTGTGAGTCTTGAAGCTGTGCCACTGGTGTTTCAAACCCAGTGGGGTACACATGGTGCACAGGTATCAGCCCAGCTTGCAGACTGAGACAGAGTAGGAAGAAGGAGGAGGCCATCCACTTCTCAAAAAATTGGCCAGGGAAAACCTTATGAATAGC